CCTCGTGGGGACACCAGTTCCTCAGGATGTGGGGAAGGCATGGCAAGGAGCACACTGGTGTCGGTGGCCCTTCCCTGTGTTTCTTTAGGAGGCCTCCATCCTGCAGAGTCCCTGCTAACTGCATTGGTGGACACGGGCTGACCACTGAGCTTCCCACTGCTGCCTCCAGTGTCTGCTTTTAGAACAGTAGCAGGCTCACCAGCCAGGTACCACCTTGGGCTGCCCCAAGCAGACTGGACAGGAGCAGCACTGGGCACTCAGCAGGTCACCCCTGGGCATGGATATGGTTCCCTGTTGGCAGGCTTGTATTCCATATTGACATTGTCTTAAAATACTTGTTTTTCCTGGCACTGGGGATGGAACCCAGGGGTGTTCTACTATTGAGTCACATTCCCGACCCTTTTTATCTTTTATTTTGAGACAGAACCTCACTAAGTTGCCCAGACTGTTCTTTAACTTGCAATCCCCCTGCTTCAGCCTCCCTAGTTGTTGGAATCATAGGTGTGCACCACTGGACCCAGCCTAAAATACACTTTGCTTCATTTCTGTAACTTCACCGTCACTATCACAAGACTTGTAAGTACCAGGTGCAGGTTCATGTTGCGTGTCCTTGTAGGCTGGTTATGAGGCTGTTTGGCCTGGTATCCCAAGGCAGCTGTCCTCTCTCTTTAGACCAACCTTGGGTCAACAGCAAGTGGCAGTGCTGCTGTCTGGCTCAGTTTCTCTATGCAGGTGATTGTTCTTTTAATGCTGTGTGCAACAAATAACCTTTCTTAGAACATACCTCAGGACACCAGGAAATAAACACACGAAGGAACACACGTGTGAACCCCAGTGGGCTGGAGTTGAGTGCAGCCGCAGCAGGGAGGAGGCCCTTGTGATTGGTGCCCTGCAGAGCTGTAAGCTGGGGCCTTGGGCATCTACCAGGAAGAGTGGCCCCCTAAGGTGGAAGCCACAGTCCCACAGAGCCTCCTGTTCTGCAGTGTGGGGTCCTCCCAGCAGCAGCGGCCTGTGCTGCCCCTTGTCAGAAAAATGCCAAGGAGCATAAACTTGTAGAACTAGGACCTCTGAGAGCATCGGGTATGAGAAATTGAGACCTTGAAACCCTGGCCCCCAAATAAGTGTCACGGATGGGTACACACACACACACACACACACACACACACACACACACACACACAGGTTTACAATTAGTTTATAAAAGGCAGAATCCAAATAGGGTTTCTGTTAGCAGTAGGTTGGTGTGTCTCTTAGATCTGCCCCCCACCTTTTTTTTTCTTCTGACACTGGAGATTGAACCCAGGGATGCTTTACCACCAAGCTACATCCCAGCCCTCTGTCATTTTGAGACAGTTGGCAACTTGCTAAGTTGCCACAGCTGGTCTAGAAGTTGTGATCCTCCTGCCTCAACCTCTGGAGCCCTGAGATTACAGGCATGTACCCTGCCTTTCCCCCTCACTTCTAAAGGTTATCACATATCCAGTCATGGTGGTACAAAAGTGTAATCCCAGTGAGTCAGGAGGCTGAGGCAGGAGCATCACAAGTTCACGTCTAGCCGCAGCAAATTAGTGAGACCCTGTTTCAAAAAATATAAAGGGCTGGGGGGGACATGGCTCAGCAGTAGAGCACGCCTGGGTTCCATCTCCAGTGCCAAAAAGGAAAGAGGAAGTGATCATATAATAACGTTCCATTCCGCACCTCCTTTTACACAGCTCTCGAGTTCTCACCAATTCTGTGTCCACCACTCTCTTCAGGTCTGCACCTCGGGACAGTCCCCCACACTGTCCATACCCCTCCTGGCCTCTGCACTCTCTGCTCTTGGCATTGCCCTTCCAGAATGAAGAGCTGCACAGCCTGCTGCCACTGGCCTGTGTCCAGCACGGTACCTCTGGAGGGTTGTGCGTGTCCGCTGCCCAGCCTCAGGTGGCCTGGTTGCCTCCTGGCCAAGAGGCTGCAGGTCTTCCTCTGCCTGTTTCCAGCCCTTGGCCACTGAGCAGGCTGCTGGGGATGCATGCAGGTCTCTGAGTGGACTGGGCTTTTACCCTGGGAGGCGTTCCAAGGGGTAGCAGTGTGCCTGGTGCTACAAGAACCCGCTGGGGTGTGTTGGAGGGGATCTGCACCTGGCGTCCCTGCAGCCACAGGAGCTCCAGGTGCTGCTGTCCCTCCTCTCCATCCCCTGGGGTGAGGTCTCTTTTCCATTTTCTTTGTGAATTTGTAGTGCTATCTGAACAGCTGTGTGGCGGCAGCTCAGTCTCCCCAGTGGCTCTGGCGGGAAGCACTTTTCACGCCCCTCGCCATCAGTGTCTTTTAATTCGCTCACTCATTCCTTAGGTTTGTTTTCATATTGATGAATTTTGAGAGGGCCTTTTCAGTGGGATAGAATCTTTTGTTAAATGTTTGGTCAGCAAAGACTCTGCTGTCCAAAGCTTGTCTCCTAGCAGAGATTTTTGCAGATTGGCCTTAGGTTTTGACAGGTTTGGTGAGTCAGCTTCCTGTCCTGCCTGACTGCTGAGGCCCCTCTGCCGGGCACAGACTGGCACTGCTGCTGCTCCGTGCAGGGTGGAGCTGCTGTCTCAGAGCTGAACAACTTCCTTCTTTCTCTTCTTTCTTTTTTTTTTAATTTTAATTTTTATTATTTTTTAGTTATCGATGGACAGAACGCCTTTGTTTGTTTTTATGTGGTGCTGAGGATCAAACCCAGTGCCTTACATGTGCTAGGCAAGTGCTCTGCCACTGAGCCCTAGCCCAGCCCCAGCCTAGCCCCAGTCCCTGCCACTTCTTCCTGAGTGGCCGGGGCTGTTCTAGCTCCTTTGCTGTTGCATGTAAAATCAGTTTATGGACACAGACTGAACTCCTGGATGTCTCTGGCATGGTGCCGGATGCACAGGTCGGGCTAGGGAGGGCCAGCAGCACCCCTCGCGCCTGTACAGCTCTGTCCTTCCTTCCAGCACTCGGGGATTTCTAGCGTGAAGGTCTGCACTGCTTTAGACCAAGCATTTCCTCTTTGAGGGGATTTTATTGTTTAAATAATTAATTGAGCTTCTTTTTTTAAAATATATGTACATTTTCATTGTCAATGAGCCTTTATTTTATTTAATTCTGTGTGGTACTGAGAATTGGGCCCAGTGCCTCACACCTAGATCAGCGCTCTAGCTCTACGCTCTACCTCTGAGCCAAGCCCATCCCTGAGGGGATCTGTAAATGGGTGTCTTTAAGCTTTGCCCACCCTCCTACCCCCACCCCGTGTGTGTGCATTAGCTTGTTGCAAGTGGCCCTGGGACGTGTGGCCCGAGAACACTGGTGGATTCCAGAGCTAAGTCTGCATTTCTTGGTGTCGTGTGCGTGCACGAGCAAGGTCTGAGACTGGGGGCTGCTCATCTCCCTCCTGCCTGTGCCGTGTCCCCGCCTTGCCTCTTGCACTAGCAGGGCCCATCTGTGTGAGCCACGGTGTGAGAGCCCAGGTGCAGGCCTGGGTCCCCTCTTGGGGCGGTGCCCAGTCCCTCACCTGCAGCGTTAGCCGTGGACATCCTGTGGCTGCTCCAGGTCTCAGCCTGTGCGGAGAGGTCCTGCTGGGCGTGGCACAGCTTCCCTCCAGCTCCACTCATGCACTTCGGGCGTCGGGGCTACCCTGCAGCCCAGCCCAGCCAAGGTCCAGCCCCAGATGAGTGCAGGGAGGACCACAGCTCTCTGCCAGCCTCCTACTCAGGTCCAGCAATGCTGCCTCAGGAGGGCCGTCTCGTCCAAGGTGCGCAGGCCCAGCTGCTCAGTCATGGAAAGGCAGCAAAAAAAATGCAGGAGGTGGGAGGGGCTGGGTCCTGTAGGGCATGTCCCCACTAGGCCTCACCTCGCCCAGGCCCCACCCCTGGTCTGGGCCCTGTCCTCCAAGGTCAGCTTGGGCTTGCCTGAGGCTTCTTTTTCAGGATATTTGAGCTGATAATTCAACTTATTGGTCAGAGACAGGATGAGCCCCATTACTGTTGCGTCTTGGTAGATTTGGGTAGTTGGTGGCATCAAAGAAGTGTTTGCCCTGCTCGTGTTTTGATGTCTGCAGGTCCTTCCTGAAGTGAGGACTCCTGTCCACTTTCCCTTTGTCCAGCTGGAGGTGTTCTGAAGTCTGCCCACACCCAGGCCACGGGTGCTCGCTGCTCTCTGCTTCTCTGGCTGGTTTCACTTAGCTGCTTCTGCTCCCTTGTCCCCTTCCCTGAGCTCCTCCTCTTCCCTGCTCTGGCAGCCCCTCCTGCGTTTTCATCTCAATCGAGGCGGGGCTGCGGGAGTGTGGCCGGCCTCCTGTGCAGCCTTACCCCTTAGTCACCTCTCAGCTGTGGCTTTGCCCCGGGGTCTCAGTGTGCTGACTTGCACCACAGTCCAAAATGTCAAGTGGACAGTTCCAGGAAGAGCAATCCGCACATTTTAGATCAGACACCCTTCCGAGTAGGGTGGCAAGGGTTAGGTTAAGTGCTGGAGGCCCTTCCTGCAGGGTCCACTGTGCAGTGTCAGCCTCTGCTGCTCCCTGCTGGCCCGTGCTCCCCAGGCAGGCTCAGTCCACCGGGTATCTTGTTGGAAGACACTGCCTGCAGTGACTGGGGGTCCCCTGTGGAAACCTACAATTGCACAAGAGGTGGGGTTGGCAGTGGGAAGGTTAGGGAGCACTGAGTGGGCTGGGGAAGCCAGGGTGGGGAGTGCCATGTGGGCTAGGGTCTCTCCTCCCACATCTGGGAGCTGGGCTCAGGGGGATGCCGTTACCCTGGTCTTTGGGGGCCTCTCTGTTCTGCAGTCTTATGGGAGGGCTTTTGGGATCCTGGTGGCCTGTCTCTCCCACCTGTCTGCTGAGCTGCCTCTGGTGAAGATGAGGCCCTAGCCATGGTACACAGGGTCATTGAGTGTGGCTGCAGTGGGCCAGGCCTCCAGAAACCTCTGGGAGGTGGGACAGCCAGGCTGGTGAGGGCAAGGTGTGGGTGGCCTTCGGGCAGCGTCCAGGCTGAACTGTATGCGCCTTACAGGTTGTGCAGCCTGACTCTGAAGAAGCTGGCGGTCCTCAGGGAGCTGGAGAAGGAGCTCACATCAGTGGTGATTGCGGTCAAGATGCAGGTGAGCTCAGCCTGCCACCCATAAGAGTCCTTCCTGCTTCCTCTTAGTGTGGGGCTGGCAGACACAGGTACAAAGGTGCAGGAGGCTGCATCAAACAAGCTGGACAGGGCTGGACCGTCCCTCTTTACACCTGTGGCCTCTCCCCCCATCCCCCATCATGTCCCTGGCCCTCGGTTCCCCCCTAGCCAAGGCCCTTCTCCATGGCCCAGAGGCACCCAGGCCCTCGGACTGCATCTCTTCACTGCCCTCTCCTGCTGTCCCAGCTGGGTAGGTCTGGATCTCCAACACACAGAAGCTAGGATGACTGGTAGTGGGACAGGGAGCCGAGCAGGGAGCGAGGAAGGAGGGCTGTGGGGAAGGGCCTCCACTCCCCTGCCACCCATGTCCAGACCTGACCGCTGATATCCCCCCACTCAGGCCACCCATGCCTGCTTCCTGCCACATGACCCTGCTCTGGGCTCCCTGGGTGGTGAGCTCCATGCCCCCTCCTTTCCTTCACATCCCCAGGCTCCCCATCCCCAGCCCCCTCTGCAGCTGCCTGCCCACCCCACCCCCAAACCTTGGCACATTCTGTGTCTGATGCTGCGGGAGTCTGGCACTCAGCACACCTGGCCACATCTACCCTTCTCTCTCAGCATGAAGTCCTCGGGGTCTGTCCTTGCTGGACAGAGAGATGCTGTTTTTGTGTGTACTTGGGACTGAGCCCAAAGGCACTTGAGCACTAGGCCACATTCCCAAACCTTTTATTTTGAGGCAGGGCCTTGCTAAGTTGCTTAGGCCTTCACTAAGATGCTGAGGCTGGCCTTGAACTTGCAATTCTCCTGAGTCGATGGGATTGCAGGCATGCACCACCATGCTCTGTGGAGCAGATCCTCTCAGACAGTACTGTGACGAACAGCGATGGTGCACTTGAGTTTAGTTTGGTGTAGGTGGGAGGTTGGGGTCCTGTCGGTTCATACAGTGACTTTCTACATGCTGACAGGAAGCTCCTGCTGACTGAGGCCACTTAACGCTCACTGTGCCTCGAGTGCCTGTGTACTTTGTGTCTGTCCCCAGATGGTGCCTACCCTCTCTCTCCTGGCAACAGTGTCTCTGTGCCATCAGCACTAGGCCTCTGAGGATGTCCTCTGGAGGGCCGTCGGCCCTGTGTGATTTTTAAAATATGGGAAGCCCAGCACACTGGCCTACCAATTAAGGCTGGCATCCTGCCGTGAGGTATCTTGGTGACTGTTACTGTGGCAGGAATGTTCCTGACCCTCTCCTTCCGGGTAGGTCCTAGAGGTGGGGTTGGTGCAGCAAAGGGAAGGATGTGTTCAAGGCTCTGGTGTGTGTCCTATGCTGCCTCTGAGAACCCTCCTTGCTTAGGCCTCCTGTCCAGGATTTTCATCGTGACAGCTTAAAGAGTGACTGAGTGACCATGTCGTTGGTTTCATTTAAAAATTCCCTTTAAATCAACAGATCTATCTTCTCACAGGGCTCCAAACGGGTCCTCCGATCTCATGAGATTGTGCTGCCCCCCAGTGGACAGGTGGAAACTGACCTGGCCTTGACCTTCTCTCTGCAGGTAAGTCTAATACGGGGTTATGGGACACTCTCATAGTGCCCTGGATGTGGGGATGGGCCCTGCTCAGCACCTGGAGTGATGGACACTCCCTCACTAGGGCAAACTGTGTGCTTTCTTATTTTGATCTTCTCTTGGTTGTGGCTTATTAAATGATTAGAAAATTTTCTTGGTGTACCATGTTCTATTTCTATTCATTTCTCACAGTTAAAAAAATGTAATGAGGAGGCCACACATCAAATTCCCAGTTAAGCTCATTCTCATATATAGAGAAGATGGGCAGGAGTACAGGGGAACTCAAGTCTACTAAGTTCACAGCCGTGAGCATTGGGTGTGCCTAGTGGTGGACTGTCTCTTAGCTAAGATGTGGCTGAGCGCCTCCCAAGGCCAGTGGGAAACAGAGAGCCCCCCTGGTTCTCTCCAGAGCCTTGCCCCATCTAGAAAGCCAGCCCAGCTCCAGTTAATTCAGCACCCACTAAACCAATTCATTCTAAGTTCCTAGGACTCCTCTTCTCCTTTTAAATGTACGAGTCTGGTGAAATGCCCCTGTCCCTGCGAACTCCCGCCAACTACCTCCCCATCACCACCCACCACCCACCAGCCCTACCCTGCCTGGCTACCTGGGGCTGGCCACTGGAGCTATCCCCACCAACATGCTCCTGGGGTTTGTAGTGTGTGACTTTTTGGGGTGTCCAGTTCTTTGAGGTGTAATTTACTAAATAGGACTCATCTGTGTTGAGAGCAGGACCCTTGGCTTCTGCAGTGTGAACAGGCACACAGCCCTGCTCAGCCAAGAGCAGGGGCTCATCTGCTTTGGTCCCAAGGTGCTTTCTCTGTGTCAAGTCTTGAGAAAGAACCTGTGAGCATCTGCTTGGGCAAGTCCCTCCAAGTAGTCCCCTCTGGCTGCCCAGCTGGAGGGTGCACACTACCGAGGGTGGGAGAATGCACGGGGGTCAAGGCCATGGTCGTCTCCTTCATGCATCCATGAACACACATGGCCCCCCAACCCAGATATCTTGGCAAGCCCTTAAAATCCACCAGCTTAAGCCAGCAGGGTGGGGGCAGAGCCAGGCAGCTCTGCCCCAGGATCAAGCCCTACTGCTGTGCTCGTTCCTGGGTGGTGGGAGACAAAGGGCCTGGGGACCAGGGGCGACCCTGAAAGGTCTCAGGCAACATCAAAGGTCACCCCATGCAGACCTGACCTCATGGCCCATGGGGCAGGCTGCACTGGGCACCTCAGGGCGCTCACTTTTGCCCACAGTACCCGCATTTCCTGAAGAGAGAAGGCAACAAGCTTCAGATCATGCTGCAGCGCAGAAAGCGCTACAAAAATCGCACGATCCTGGGCTACAAAACGCTGGCTGCGGGCTCCATCAACATGGCCGAGGTGAGCGCCCTGGGCCCTGTGTGGCACTGTGCAGGCTGGTTCTAGGACAGCAGAGCATTTGTATGTGGCAGATTGCTCCTACATGTCCGGTGTTCACACCATAGTGACCAGAGGAGTGGGCTCCCCCGTGATGCTGAGCTCAGCCCAAATGTGCTGCCTCTTCCTGGTCCCCTGGCCCCACATGGCTCAGCATAGCTCCTGCCACACATGCAGCCCTATGTGCAAGTCCTGCTTCCATACCTGCCCACCACCATGGCAGAGGGCCCAGGTGGACCTGTCCTGGAGCCCCTTGCAGAAGGCTCCTCCTGGATATCCCATGTGGCCCTTGCTAGCCCTAAATGTGAGACTGGCTGAAGCAGTGGGAGCACCTCAGAAGGAAAACTGCCCAGCAGCCCCGTGTCATCCTGCGTGCCATGGGGTGCTGTGGGGCTGGGGGACTGTGCAAATGGAAGGGACTTGTGACATAGAGGCACCCTGGGCTGAGGGGCCCAGACCTCCTCATGGGTCCAGGAGCCACAGCAGTGGCTCTGAAGAGGGACAGCTGGGGTCTCGTGGAGCTGTATTGGGCCTACCTGGGGCAAGCATAGCAGCAGCAGGCCTGGCTGTAGCACCCCCACCCCTACAGGGCTGCCAGACTCCGGTGCCGTCCAGCCCCACCAGTCACTGCAGGCCTGGGTCTCCCCGACCCCAGATGCCCCACCGTGCTGCACACCCAAGCCTCCCAATCCTGTCTCCTGGAACTTGCCTCTGCCCCCCAGACTCTGGGCTCTCCCTTGTGCTAGACTGACTGTTCTAAAGGCCACCCTGCCATGGCGGCTGCAGCTTTAAAGCCTGTCCATTCTTGGGAGAAAGGGCCAGTCCCTGGATGTGGCCTCTGCATCTCTGCTCCCCACAGCCCACTACCCCACAGCTGTGTGCTCTGAAGCCAAGGTTGCCTCGGTGCCTGCCTCTCTGTGCTCCCTGGCCACCCTCCTCCAGGCCCTGCACTGTCCTCTCCCACCACAGCCTCTGGCCCCAGACCCAGCTCGGCCTTCCCACGGGGCCTAGTTTCCTTGCTGCTTGGCAGTGGCTATCCCTCACTGTGACCATTGTGGGCTGTATGTCATCCCATGAGCTCTGGTGGATGGGGGATAAAGGTAGCTCTGACCTTGCCTGGTGGGCGTGGGATGTATCATGAGGCTCACCTGGGGGCTGTGACAGCCTGGTGTGGTCACAGAAGCTGCCACATAGGAGTAGGCTGGGGCTGTCAGTGAGGCTGGTACTGTTGTATAAGGATGGCACTTGGCAGGAAGACAGTGTCCCTAAGGTTGGGACATGGGGTCAAGCCAGTGCATGGACATAGAGGTGATGGCTGGGTGGTCTCCCCGTGAAGCCCCAGCGCCTCTAGTGGTAGTTGGCCCCACCTACTGTCCCTCTGGCCCTGACCCACCATGTGCTCTGCCCGAAGGACTTGGCGGGCAGAAAGGCTAAGCTGGGTGTCTTGGGAACCTGCATGTGCATGTGGATGGCTGTCAGGGCCAGGGGCATAAACAGGAGAGCGCAACCCCAGGACCTGGCAGCAGGAGGAGCTAATGGCCCCTCAAGACCTGCTCAGGCATGGCCTCCACTCACACTGGTGAGCGTCATGGTGGTGGGAGGAGGCCCCAGCTCTGCCCCCTTGGGGCTCCCTTCCCAGGTAGACCCAGGCCTCAGCCTGAGCACCCTCACCCAGGTAGCTGGGGTGGCAGAATTGAGGTCTGCAGGCCTGAACACTGAGGTTCAGAATTGTAGGTTGGCCCAGCATTTCCCTGGCCTCTGAGCAGCTTCCCATGGCTCTGAAACTCTTTGATGGTGAAAACGGGAGCCTGAAGGGTGGCAGGAGAAGGCCACCCCAGCAGGCTCGAGCTGTCACTGGGCTCATGGTCCAGCCAAGCTAGGGGGCGCAGGGCTCTCAGTGCCATATGGCACTACAGCCGGGCCCGAGTGGGATGGCCCCCTGGCCATCAGCATCACCCAACAGAGCTCCCAGCGGCAGAGCTCCTGAGTGCTCCTGGGAAGAGGCGCCAGTCCTGAGGAGCCCTGGCCAAAGCCCGGCGTATGCTGGGAGAGCCAGGGGTTCTGGGCTGGGGCGTCAAGGAGAGGTCAGAGGGAGACTGGGAACCAAACCGGGGAGAGGTGGCCAAGGTTACCTCCCCAGCCCCAGCCAGCCCTGGGGACTCTCCCTCATTTGTGGTGGCTAGTGTGGAGCATGTTCCCAACCCTCTTCACAGGACCAGCCCCTACACTCCAGGCTTAGGGTGCTCTCAGGAGCGGCTGGACACAGGGATCAGTGCAAACATGCCTTTCACAGGAGGTCCCATCTCCCTCTTACCCTCCCACATGGAGGAGGCAAGAGTGGGTTTTCTTGGCAGAGGCCCTGACCCACCTGTCTCCTGCAGAGGTAGTGTGGGCAGGCAGGGCCAGTGTGCCTACATCCAGGCTGCTACTCACCCCCAACAACCGGTGGCCCTTCTCTTAGCCAGGGTCACTGGGATGGATCCATGTGTCCACCTCTGGAGAATGTTTTGGCCTCTGAGCCAGTGGTTCACACCAAGTCTGAGGTCACTGCAGGAAAGTGACAGGTGTGTGGAGCTGGGCCTGCAGAGGCAGGTGAGGGAAGCAGCCTCTGAATGGCATATACCTGTGCAGAGTATGTGGGCACCTGTGTCCCTGTTGGTACACAGGTGCACAGAGCCCAGGAGTGGGGGAGTCTTGGTGTAGGGCTGCCAGCTGACCTAATTTGGCATCTGACAGGAAGTGAAAGCAGATGTGAGCTTTCTTAGAATTTTATTTTTTTACTGATTAGACTTAGCACCCCCAAATCAGGACCCAAAATTTAAAAAAACTCTGATCTATGGGTCTGGGGCTGGGGCTGTAGCTCAGTTAGCAGAGCGCTTGCCTAAATGTGCAAGGCCCTGGGTTCAAGCCTCAGTGCTGAATCTGACGTATAAAGTCCTAACGTGGGTCCCATCAGCTGGCCGCCAGCAGGGCTTCAGAGAGCGTGGGCCTGTGAGTGAGGGCTCTGAGACATGGTGGTGCAAGGCAAGCAGGGACCAAGGGATGGGCGCACCCTGCCTCTCTGGTTTGTGACTCTCTTGTAGCAGTTGACCCTAGAGCTCGATGGTCTCACAAGCCAGACCTGGTAGGTCCTATGCTTGCTCGTGGCCATTCTTCCTTGGCCCTCATGAACATGCCCCTGGACAGGCATCTTAAGGGCTGGTGGCCATGTCACGTTCCACGCTGGCCCTCACCCCTGCTGCCATAGATTGCTTGGCTGTTGTGGGAGTCGGGGCCTCCTGGGTGGCTTCCCAGGCACCACAGGTGTGCCAGAGACCAGCTAGCTGCAGTCGGTCCTATCTGTTTCCTTGTCTGTGGCATCTAAGCTGGGGCTCTGCTCCCCTGTTCGCTCCGTTCTCATCCTGGCCGTCCCCCTAGCCCTGTTCTCCTTTGCTGTCTGTTGTGGACTCTCTTGCCCACTCCAGGCACCTCCTGCTCTCAGATATGGGGTTGCCAGGGTGGAGGGCCCTTTCCATTTGTGGTATATTCTAGCTCCATCCCCCCTCCAGGTGATGCAGCACCCCTCTGAGGGCGGCCAGGTGCTGAGCCTCTGTAGCAACATCAAGGAGGCCTCCGTCAAGGTGGCTGAGATCTGGATCATCTCCCTGTCCAGCCAGCCCATTGACCACGAGGACAGCGCCATGCAGGCTGGGCCCAAGGCCAAGTCTGCAGGTGAGTGGGGCGGCACTGTGCCCCTCCCTGCTGGTCTGCCCTGGCAGTGGGTGGCAGAGCTGTGGACTATGGGGCACCCAGGTCCTGAAGGCTGAGTCACATGTGCTCAGAAGGTGTTGTAAGTCAATCAGTGCCACCTGATGCTCTGGGGCCTGCCTGGGTGGCTTCATAGAGACCAGGTACCCTATGGGCCATCCTCTCTGTCCCCTTCAGTCTGTGGCCTGGGACAAATGCTGGGTAGCCTGCAGCTGCTGCCACCATCACAACTGGGCCCCCCGGGGCAGGGAAGACTGCTGGAGGTTGACTGGGGCCTGGCTGAGATGCTAGAGGGCAGGATGCAGTGGGGTCCAAAGCAGGGTCGTGTGGTCCTGCTGACCCTGCCAGGCCCGCAGGCTGGGGGCCTGTGAGCCACCTTGGTGCTAGGGCAGTGGGTAGGACTTGACGTCTCCAACAGACCCTGTGCTTGCTCCACAGACAACGACTCTGAGGACGAGTACGAGAGCTTCTCCTCGGAGCAGGAGGCCAGCGACGATGCTGTGCAGGGGCAGGTAACTGAGGCTTGCCAGAGCGTGGCCACGGCCACAGGGAGGGCCTGGGGGCTCAGAGCACCTGGATTCTCCCACCCCAGGCTCCCACATGCCCAGGGGCAGCTCCAAAGAGGCTGTGGCCAGGGTGGCCTCAGCAGTGCCTCCTTAGGGCTGCATGCTTGGCTGGCCCCGCCCGGCCCAGGTGGGTGGTTGTGACCTCAGGTGTGTGCTGTGCCCACAGGATCTGGATGAGGATGACTTTGAGGTGGGGAAGCCCAAGAAGCAGCGGCGCTCGATAGTAAGAACGACGTCCATGACCAGGGTCGGTGGAAGCTGTTCTACTAACACTGGGTGGTGGGGCTCGAGCGGGGCACCGTGGGCCTAGGGCCAGGCAGGGGCATCCCTGGGCAACCCCCGACTGCCAGTTCCCGCCAGGTACTGCCCTCTGAGGCCTGCCCCAGGTCCTTGCTCCAGCTTTGCATGGTCACGAGGTCTCCAGGGTCTGGAGTGAGGCTAGATAGACTGGCCTTTGCTGCTGCGGCCTCCATGGGCCTGGAATGGCTGCCTCCTTGCCTCGGCACCACTCACACCTATGTGTGGCCAGTCCTGCTTTGCCCTGAGCCAGGCCTGCCTGCGGTCCCATGGGCACAGGAGCTCGGCAGGGTTCCTTCCTCTAGGAAGAAAACTTGGATGGGCCTCAGCCCTTCCTGACCCTCAGTGTCCTTCACTGGGAACTGGAGACCCTCAAACCCCAGCACTGAGCTGTGCCCCTGCAGGAATGGCAGTGTGAGTTGCCAGGGAAGTCTATGCTAGTGCTGACAGGGGACAGGCACTGCCCACTTGTGGCAGCATGTGAGAGGGAGGCCTTGGGAGGCTGTGCCCCTGTTGTGCCAGCTACTCCCACACAGGGAAGCCGTGTTGTCCTGGACCATGGTTAACACCAGTCAAGCCTCAGCTCCAGGGCCCTGGGCCAACCTCTGAAGGGAGGTGGGTGCGGCAAGCCCTCTCTCTGTAGGTTAGCTGGGGACACACCTCACTGGTGGCCAGTGGCTAGAGCTGAGACTGTACAGCCCAGGGCAGCCAGGGAGCAGTGGGGTTCAGACTGTCCACTGAGCAGGCACCGCCACCTTGTCTACCATACCTACTCAGGGCCCACCCAGCAGCCTCCTTCCGGAGGGGGCTGGGAGAGCAGGAAGAGCTGTGAGGCTTCTGGAGGAATGGCAAAGCCAGCACTTGCCCTCTTGGCACCCCTAGCACCCCTGGGTGGGGCCTGGGACGGTCAGCTCTCCTGGGCATTCTTTGTCTGGCTTCAGTTGTGGCCTGAGACCTGGTGAACATGTTGTGGGACTCCTGCAAGAGCCACGTTGCATGTGTCAGTGCTGCTGAGTGTTTCCCGTGCACCTCCTCTGGCCCAGCGCAGCAAGAGGCCCCGGCACAGCCTCACGGTGCCCCAGGAGTGGCTCCAGGCCATGCCTGACTTTGCCGCTTGCCTTGCAGCAACAAAACTTCAAGCAGAAGGTGGTGGCACTGCTGCGGAGGTTCAAAGTGTCCGAGGAGGTGAGTAGGCTGAGCCTCCCTGTTGAGCGCCCTGCTGGGGAGGAGGTATCTGATCTCTGGGCAGCTACAGCTCTGTGCTTGCCCTCTGTAGGGCATTGCCCTCTGCCCGCCAGGCTGGGCGACAGTTGTGCTGTCTCCTGACATCTCCCGAGGTGTCAGCAGAGAGCCAGGGATGGCCAGCTCCATGTCTGTAGAACTCCAAGTCATGGTCACCAGGGAAGATGGACACCAGGTTTTTGTGTTCATTAGCTTTCATAGATAGACTTTATTTGGGGAACTGTTTAGGCCCATAGAAAAATCAGGCAGGTGTGCACAGAGCTTCTGGTGCCCCTGCCGCCATAGGCGGTCTCTCTTGCTGCCAGCACGGCATGAGTTCTTAGGTTTTAAATTCTTCTAGCGTTTCTCTAGTTTCCAAATTTTCTGTAATGAGCTTGTGTAACTTCCATAACCGGAAGAAAAACTCCTTGGTGCTTTCATTTTTTGTTTGTTTTGGTTTGGATTTTGTTGTTGTTTTGTTTTGGGGTACCAGGGATTGAACTCAGGGGCAGTTAACTACTGAGCCAGCCCTATTTTGTATTTTTTTATTGAGAGACAGGCTCTCACTGAGTTGCTTAGCACCTCGCTGTTGCTGAGGATGGCTTTTAACTCGCAATCCTCCTGCCTCAGCCTCCTAAGCTGCTGGAACTACAGTCGTGGCCACTGCACCCAGCTTCCTGGTGCTTTAACACATGGTGTGATGCTGGGCTGCCGTGGAGAGGAGGTCCCTGGGTGCGCCACTCCACTGGCCACACGGCCCACACAGTGGCTCTGTGTCCCTGAACAAGAAGGCCATATCACCAGAGCACCCACACTTGGTGGCTGCTCTGCTCAGGCGTAAGTGCTGAGATTGGCATGGCTCGGCCACGTGGGGCCAGCAGTGTTTCCAGGGCCCATCTAGCAGCCTGCCTCCAGGAAAGGACAGCTTCCTCCTCGGGCACAGCTGGCAGGCCCTGAGTCTTTGCTCACTTCTGGTAGTGAAACAGTCCCTAATCTAGCTGCAGAGGGGACACTTAGCAGGGCAAACCCCTGGCCTGAGGCCTCCTTGACCCCTTCTGTATGCCTAGCAAGGAAGGAGAGTCCTCAGCTGGATCTCGACCATGGGGTTCTGTACTTGGCCCAGCAGGGGACTGAGTCCCAGAATGTACCTGACCCACACAAATTGGGTTCTGACTTCTGGAACTCAGCTCAGATTGTGAACTTTCGGCCAACATCCCAGGCACTGTACTTGGGTAAAGGACTCTATCTTTTCCTGGGGATGATCTCCTAGGATGGTGTAACATTCGCATACGTTGATCAAGTCATGTGGTCTCTTTATCTGCCACTGTACTCCCTCTGGTGTGAGGACCAGACCACCTTGCATAGCTCTGTCCCTGTGTCTGAGTGCTCTGGCCAGTGTGTGCCTCCCAGCACTGCCCAGCTTGTGGCCTCACAGCAGCCCTGGGAGATGCAGGAGAGGCTTGGCAAGGGGCAGCCTCCTGCTGGGCCGGGAGCCGACTTAGACCACTCCTGCTGCTGTCACTGTAGCTCAGTCTGGGTAACTAAGATGCAGCCAAATGCTTCACTCCCATCCTGAGGCTGGAAGTCCAGGGTCACGGCTCCAGCAGATGGGGTGTCTGGAAGGGCCTGATCCTCTCAGACAGTGTTGTCTACGTGTCCTCACACAGCAGGGCAAGTGGGAGGAGCACACTTCCTCCAGCCTGCTGTATGAGGTCACTAATCACTTCCCAAAGGCCCCACTCCTTAACATGTCACCTCAGGGGTCAGGTTTGAACATCTGAGTTTGAGGGCTCACGTTTAGACCCTAGCCCACAAAGTTCATGTGCTTCTCACATACAAAATACATTCTTTCCATCCCAGTAGCCTCAAAGTCTTAACTCATTCTAGCCTCAACTCAAGAATTTAAAGACCCAAATTTGAATATCATCTGCATCAGAGCAGGTCAGACTCCTCTCTAGCTGTTTGTCAGCTCATGAAACCAGTGGTGTGCTTCCAAAGAATAATGGTGGGACCAGCATAGGGTGGATATTACCTGTGGGAGGGAGGGAGGGAGGGAGCTGTCTCAAGAAAGTCAGAACCCAGCAAGGAAAATTCAGAATCTCCAGGCTCGAGATGGTCATCTTTGATGTTCCACCCACCAGGCACCCCAAGCTGGGAGTTGGGCCTCAGCCCCAGGTGGCCCATTCTTGGTGCTACAGGGTGCAGATGCAGAGGTATGTCCCTGCAGTCCTCCCAGCTCTGTGGCAGGTGGGGACTAAGTTCTGCCATCCTGGGTGCCCCACTCCCATGGCACCACTGGACTTTACCCCAGTGGGGGCTCCCTGCTGGAGCCCTATCTCCACAGAAGTCTTCTGCCTTAGCCCAGGGCATCCTGTGGGTCTGGGTGAAGGTGCCCATGCCCCCGGCTCTTCACGCCTCTAGAGTTGGCACCATGTGGGTACTGAACAGTAGACCACTTATGCCCTCTGGAGGGGTGGCTGCTGCTATCCCTATCACACCAGAGCAGTGCCCCCAGATGCAGGGAGCAGAGCAGAGACTGTGCTTCCTAGCATTCTTGGCCTGTGGTAGGCAGCACAGCACCAAAGACTTCTCAAGTGCCTTTAGGCCAGTCTCCAGCTGTCCTGTCCATACTGACCTCCTCATATTCACTGGCCACCCCCTGATGTTCTCTTGCAAACACTTTTTCACTCTGTGCAGCCTTTCCCAGGGAGAATCTTCCAGACCTTAAGTCCTTCCCTTTCTTTTTTATTTTTCTTTTTAAATGTTTATATTTTAGCTTTAGGTGGACACAATATCTTTATTTTGATTTTATGTGGTGCTGAGAATCGAACCCCGTGCCTCACGCATGCTAGGCGAGCGTGCTACCACTTGAGCCACATCCCCAGCTCTTTTTTCTTTTCTAGATAACTTTATTTTATTTATTCATTCATTTTTTTTAATGTGGTGCTAAGGATGGAACCCAGTGCCTCAGGCATGCTAGGCAAGTGCTCTACCACTTAGCCATACCCCAGCCCTTTCTCTTTCTTTTTTTTAAATTTTATATATATTTTAGTTGTTGATGGACCTTTATTTTGTTTATTTATTTATATATGGTGCTGAGAATCAAGGCCAGTGCCTCACACGTGCCAGGCCAGTGCTCCATCACTGAGCCACAACCCAGCCGAGGTCTTTTTGATAAGTTTCATCTTTAATTCCTTTTTCTCGCTGCACATTACTGTGCGTAGTCAAGAGAAGCCATGCAGCACCCTTGGTGCTGAGCTTGGATTTCTTCTGCCAGCTGTCCCGTTGACACTTGGAAGTTCTACCTTCCACCAGACACTAGGACACAGACAGAATCCAGCCAAGCTCTTTGTCGCTTTCCTCCAGTTTCCAATAGCACGCTCCTTCTTGTGTGAGGTGTCTCGTGGCCTTTGGTGGCACGGTCCTGCCGAGGTCTGGCTCCAAGATGGCTCTCTCCACAGCTCTCCTCTTCTGAGCATCACCAGAACCTCCCTCACAGCTCACCTCAGTGGGCACCACAGACCCTTCCAACCTCTACCCTCCCCATTCCATAGCCTCTTATACGTGTCAGGAGTCTGTCACAGCAGACTCCTGTCACGTACAAGCTTCTGCACCTCCCTGTCTGGGACTGCTAGAGCTGCCACAGCTGGACACCTTGACTGGCGATTCAGAAACAACCAGTGTGTGGCTTACAGTTCTGGAGACTGGGAGTCCAAGACCAAGCCTCCCATAGATGCCCAGTCTGGAGGGGGCTTGTTCCTCATGGACAGCACTGTGTGTCCAGGGTGGGCAGATGGGGAGAGTGTGCTTCCCACAGTCCCCCTTTTCTCCGTACTGGGCATTGAACCCAGGAGTGCTTTACCCTGAGCTACATCCCCAGGACTTTTTATTGTATTTTGAGAAGGGGTCTTGCCAAGTTGCCCAAGCCTGGCCTTGAACTTGCCATCTACCTGCCTCAGCCTCCTGAGCAGTTTCAGCTCTGTTTGCAAGGACACAAATCCCATTTATAAGGCCACCTCTCATCCCCTGATCACCTCCCAAAAGCCCCACCTCCTAATGCCATCCTCGGGGGCCTAGGTTGTGGCAGGAATCTGAGGGAACACACATTTGAGCTGCTGCCTCTGACATAGGCTGAGCCTCTCAGGTCTTTGATCAGCACACACAGCAGAGCCACAGAACTCCAGGCGCAGTGTGTCCCTGGGCCTTTAGCCTGTGAGTGGCACACCTGTATAGTCTGTAGGTTTTCAACAAAGGTGCCAAGTTCATCAGAGAAAAAATGATCTTTTCAACAGAAAATGAACCTCAACACATAACCTCATTGTTTGCAAAAGTCACCCTCTGAAAAATCATGTACTAAATTTAAAACCTAAAAAAATAATTACTTAAATTTTAAACTCTAAACATCAGAAATTTAAATTCTATCAAAATTCTAGAATATAAAGAAACATCTTTGTGAATGTGGATTAGGCGAAGATCTGTTAGGACCCAGAACACGTGTGAGTCTTCAAAGTGGGAAAAACAAAGCACTGGGCTCTGTCAAAAGTGGAGACTGAAGCGTCCACACTCAGAAGGGTGGACATTGAGCCCACTCACGGGAGGGACCTGGAGCAGCAGATCTGCAGCAGCAGGGGCAGGAGGAGTGACTAGGGGGACAGTGCTGGGGTGGCACCTTTGGCTGGCAAACCATAGCTACACATCTGAAGCATGGGGTGGCTCCTGGGGCGGGGCGGGGTCACCTGTGCTCTTCCACACCCTGGGGGTGTCACGCTGCGCTCTTCAACACCCTGAGTCACTTCATAGTCTGGCCAGTTTTTTGGGGTTTTTTTAGTTGTCAAGGGAACTTTATTTTATTTATTTATATGTGGTGCTGAGGATCGAACCCAGGGCCTCACACATGCCAGGCAAGTGCTCTACCACTGAGCCACAACCCCAGCCCCAGTTTTTTTTTTCTTTTTGAGGTACTGGGGATCAAACCCAGGCCTTGTGGTGCTAGGTGAGCACTCTACCCCTGAACTACATCCCCAGCCCCGTGTTGTATATTTTTGCTATAATAAAAAAGTAGAGCTGGGCGCAGTGGCTCACGCCTATAATCCCAGCAGCTTAGGAGGCTAAGGCAGTAGGATCGTTAGTTCAAAGCCAGCCTCAGCAGCAGTGAGGCCCTAAGCAACTGAAACCCTGTCTCTAAATAAAATACAAAACAGGGCTGAAGATGTGGCTCGGTGGTCAAGCGCCCCTGAGTTCAGAACCCCCTTCCCCCCAAAAATTAGAAATTTGCCTGTGAAAAATACTAAGAGAAAAAGCAAGCCACAATATGACAGAAAATATTTGTAAATCACGCGTCTGATAAAAATTTCTATCTAGTGTATAAGAACTTTCAAGACCCGGTAAGAAAGACGGCCCAAGGTTCAAGTGGGCAGGACTCACCCAGTGGGTGTGGCAAGCATGGGGAGGGCCTGAAGAGGAGGTAGTGGCAGCAAGGCGTGGACCCTGCTGACTCTTGCTGAGGTGGCAGTGCCTGCAGGTTGATCTTCAAGCCCACGTTGTCCCTCTGCAAGCCCGCTGCCTTTGCACAGAGACCCACCAACCGGCTCTGACGTCAATGCGTCAGAGCAAGGGCCTCCCAGGCAAGACAGTATCTAGAAAGAAGCTGGAAGATTCACACTTCCTGGTTTCAAAACTTACCACCCAGCTGAAGTGGTCAAGACCATGGTGCTGACACCAGCACAGACCTAAGTCAGCGGAATGGAGTCCAGCACCCAGGACAGATCTCACATTGCCACCAGTGTTCAGCAAGGACATTAAGACTACCCTGTAGGGGAGGGTGCAGGCTTCTCAACACACATTGCTAGGAGAACTGGTCCTCATACCACATGCAACAGAACCCACAGCAGAGAACACCTTCAGGACACTCAGCAGGCCTCTTAGATTTGACACCCAAAGCACAGTGACAAAAGAAAAATAAACTGGGATATCACAGTAGTTAATGCTTTTGCACTATAAATAATACCATCAAGGGTATGAAGCAGCAGCCCAAAGAATAGAGCTGTTTAGCGAATTATAAAGGGCTTGTGCTCAGAATATATAAAGATAACTTGTAACTCAGAAATAGCCCAATTAAAAACAGGTGTCTGTCTCTTGAGGAAGACACCCGATGGGAGCTGTGGTGCTCCCGACTACTGCTCCCAGCCCACAAGTTGCCAAGGAACAGAGCAGCCAGGAAGCTGTGCTGCAGCACAGCTTTTACAGTACTGGAAAGGTGGCTGTGAAAACAGGTGGCAGCTGACCAGCTAGGGTGCCCCTTCCCCGAAGAACCCATGTCCTGCTGTGGTCAGAGATGCAGAGGTGTGGGTGGAGGCCTGCAGGGGGCCTGGCAGCCTCAGAACCAGGGAAATGCCTATGGGGAGGCCCATATCCAGTCCTCCGGAGGTGCCAGCAGACCCTCAGGCTGGCTGGGAGTGGAGGTTGAGGTTACCACTTCAGGAACTCTCAGCTACCCTAAGATGGTGTTTGTCGTTTGTTTAAAAACATGAATTGTCTGATTAAAAGATGGGCAAAGGATCTGAGTAGATGTTTCGCCAGAGAAGAGAGAGATGTGGTTAATAAGGACTGTCATCAGTGGGCATCGGGTCAGCTGGTTGTCAGGTAGGTCACCATTTGCCCCCCAACAGTAGGCACATGTGCACAGGTGGGTGGAAAGCAGACACTGGACACTCCAACTCATGCTCCTGGTCAGCCCTAAGGAGGTAGGGGTGCGTCCCCACTGTGACCTCTAGGCTTGTGCTGCCAGTTTTATCTGCAGGAGCCATGTGGGAAACAGTCCAGTTGCTGATCAGCGCTGGCCCTAAACACCTGCTCCCACTCAGAAGGGACTAGCACTGACACGGGACTCGCATGGGCCTGCCACCCCATGCCAAGTCAGATGCCAGACGCAAGGCTGCATCCTCCTGACTCCACTCTGGCAGTGTCTGGAGGGGCTGGCTCACAGGGCAGGCCTGGGGGTGGCTGCCAGGGATGCAGCTCTACAAGGGCACAGGCTTCCTGGGCAGACAGGAGGTGCTCTGCTTCCTGTGCGGGAAGCACCCCCTAGTCATTGACTGAGGGCCAGGTCAGGCCGAGGAGCCTTCGTACCACACAGTGTGAGGACCTGAGGTCTTTGGAGAGAGTCCCAGTTCCCAGAAACTAGAAAGTAAATAAGATGGAAGTGCTGGTCGCTGAGTGTGCCCAGCAGCTCAGCACCCTGCCTGTCCTCCTTCTGCAGACCACTCTTCATAGCCCATAGGCTGCTGCCAAGGGCGGGTATGGGCCTTTGTGGGGCCCTTACGCACCTTTGGTGTTGTTACAGGTCCTGGACTCAGAGCAGGACCCTGCGGAACATGTCCCTGAGGTGGAGGAGGACCTGGACCTTCTGTATGACACACTGGACATGGAGAACCCCAGTGACAGTGGCCCTGACATGGAGGAGGATGATAGCGTCCTCAGTACTCCTAAGCCCAAGCTTAGGTGAGTCAGCAGAACCAGATGGTCATTTTGATGAACCCTGCAAAGAGACTTCTGAGCGGCCCTCAGGATGCCCCCATACCTGCTGCTTGATCAGTGGCTGACCTGGGTTGGCCCTGGGCACTGTGGGCAGGGCCACCTGCCTCTGAAGGCTTGGAAGATTCCCACAGGCCAGACTGCCAGGGGCAGCCTGGATGGGTCTGTGGGCCAGTCAGTCCCAGGTGGTTGCAGGTAGACTGAGCCAGGTATCAGGAAGGGGTGTATTTGAGTGAATCCGGTGGGAGGTGCCCGAAGGCTGGCAGGAAGCTGGGGTAAAGTCTCCACAAGGCATTGTGGTTCTCAGGTGACAGAATCAGGTGAGCTCTCAGGTCGTTGGGATGGGGGTGGACTGAAACGATCTGTAGAAGGCAGGAGCTCGGAGCATGGGGCAGGTGGGATGTGGGGCAGGCTGTGAGGATTGAGGAGTCCTCCTGGGTGCTGGAGGCCTGCCAGCACCTCTCCTGGGGTGGCAGGGGCTGGCTGAGGCTGGCCTGGGGCAGGAGGAGCAACACGGAAGGTCTCCTCGCAGGTTTGCCATGGACGCTCAGGAGACCCTGTTCTGTGGGGTAGGAAGCACAGCCCACAGGACAGTGTGTAGGCCTCAGTGTGGCTGGGTGTGGCAGGCCTGGGGTGTGGGTGGCAGCTGAGGTGTGAGGCTTTTTAAACCTACATGGTACAGAGAGGCACATACAGGAAAGTGCTGTCCTGTGTCATTAGGCAGGTCCACAGCTGACCCTGGCTCCCTGGCAGCTCCCATCTTACCCTGACACTGACTTTAAGCCACCTTTACTCCTTGTTCTGGAGGGCAGTGTCCTGGGCTTGGCTTCATTTGTGCTGGTGTCTTGCTGCACTAGGGCTGATATACTGGCCGCTGGCTCCCACCCGGCATGGGGGGGCGCCCTCCAGGGTAGTGTGGCCATGCAGAGTTCCATTCCAGAGCCTACAGGATGGAGATGCAGCTCTGTGCTGCCCAGTAGCCATAGACCATGCTACCACCTGGGCCCCTGCATCTTGGGTCAAGTGTCTCCTGCCTCATCTCTCCGCTGGGCTTGAGTGAGCCCTCTGCGTTCTGCACTGCTGGGACGACACCAGCTCCTCCCACACCATCTGGGTCCTCCCATTGTGAGTTCAGTGATGTTGGCCTTGTTGGCAGAGTCCCTGGCCAGTTAGTGCCCACAGTTCTGGGTGGGGCATGGACATTTCAGGACTGTGATCTTGGGTGGTCACACACAGCTGAGTCCCTGTTTGTCCAGGTTTTGGGACTTAGCGGGCACATCAGTGCTCTCAGGAGTCCTAGCACTGTCCTGGCTGGTAATGTCTTCTACATCTTTTGGGTCTATACCCTCTTTTCCCCTCACTCATACCTTATCTGCTGGAGGTGGGCATGTTCTGCTCAGTTAATCTGGAATGGCCTGGTTGGCCTAGAGTGGCCTGTGCTTGCTGCGGGTGCCTTCACTGTGCTGTGGAGAATGCTCTGCTTCCTGCAGGTCTCTTCAGGCAGCCTCCAGCAGGTTACTGGAGTGGAGCTGCCACTCAGCCTCTCAGTTGTTGACAGCCCTGCCCAGGTTGAAAGCCAGGAGCAGACAGGGTTTCAGGGATGCCTGTTTTTTGAGAGGGGCCCCTGGGCTCCTCTTTCTGACCCTTCATGTGTGATAAGAGAGCCTCACTTGCAGTATGGGGAGGGTCTTGGAAAATGACATTCATCCCTTTCCCGAGCCAGGCCATACTTCGAAGGCCTGTCACACTCCAGTTCACAGACGGAGATTGGGAGCATCCACAGTGCCCGCAGCCAGAAGGAGCCTCCAAGCCCGGTGAGTGGCAGCAGAGCCCTTGGGTTCCTATCTTCATGCTGGACAAGCACTGGGCAAGCATGTCTCTGGTTGCCATGTGTTCCCAGTGGCAGGAGACTGTTCTGGGATGACCCTGAGCCCACAGTCCAGGAAAGTCCCATTTGGTGTCCCCTGGGCCTCTTCCCATTTGCAGCCAGAGAGCAACACAGCCTGATTCCTGTCTCCATCCCCAGGCTGATGTGCCAGAGAAGACACGGTCCCTAGGAGGCAAGCAGCCAAGTGACAGTGTCTCTGACACGGTGGCCCTTGTAAGTAGGTGTGGACATGCTCGTCTAGCCGTGCCCTAGGCCCCAACCTACCGTAGCCGCCATGTGGAGCGCCTGTGCTCACTGCCTGGACATGGGCTGGCCCCGGGCCAGGCTGCCAGGTGCTCAGGATGCCCAATCGAGGGCTGCTGCTTGCTTCCACTGTCATGATGGCCCATGAGCAGTGGGTTTCCCTGGTGCCCTTTGGAAGGGTCTCTAGATGGTGCTGGGCTGTGTGGGAGCTGGGTCTCTGGCAGGTTTGGTGCTGGTCTCCCTGCAGTGTTGGACCCAGAGGTCTGTGATGGACAGGGCTCCAAGGTGGCCTAATCCTTTCCCCAAGCCAGGACCACACAAGCTGAGAGAGACTCCAGGTGGGCTTTGTGGTTCTGGGCTAGGGAAGAGCACATAGCTTCCTTCTCTGCCCAGCAAAGTGCGCCAGCCTCTCGGGAGCCATCGGAGCAACCTGAGGACAGCCCTGAGGCCGAGACCTCCACCCTGGACGTGTTCACTGAGAAGCTGCCACCCAGCGGGAGGATCACCAAGACAGAGTCACTAGTCATCCCCTCCACCAGGTCCCTGTGCGCCCCAGCCTGCCAGTAGGAGTGGCTCCCCATGGGATGGGGCTGCTGACTTGATGGGAATCACGGGGAGAGGCCGTGACCTTGGGTACCTTCTGGAGCCGGAATTGGGCCCCACCTTGTGCATAGCTAGCTGCCTCCATTGTCTGGCTGTCACCTGCACTCCCTGGAGGGCCACATGTCCAAGGGTGCTGTCCCTCTACCTGCCATGTCCCAGGACAAGCTGCTGGATGAAGCCTTGGGGGAACAGCTGGGGGCCAGGAGGCCATTGAAGTGGGTGGGACTGGGGACAGGCAGCAGGCAGGATTGACAGCTCAGGGAGGGTAGGGCCCACCTCCAGCCTGCACCCCACACCCCCAGGCTGTGGTACACATAGAGGCGTAGAGCACTTGGGGATGAGAGCCTGGTGTTGGCACAGGTAGCTTGGTTTGTGTCAAGGTGAGCACAGGTCACACCCATGGCCCTCTCCCCACAGCCATCTCAGTCTCACCTGGGCAGGTTCCATGCTTCTTGCTTGGGGACATGCCAGACCCACCTTCCGTTGTCCCCAACTGTGGGTACCCCTTGCCTTGCATGCCTGACCCCAGAGCCCATTCACCAGAACATGTAGTGTTCCTTGCCTCTGCTAGATCTCCCTTGGGATCTTGTCTTTCCTCTGGCCAGCACCACTGTGCCCAGAGTTTGGTGGCTTCAGGGCAGGAGACCTGTGAGCCCATGCCTGTGTCAGCACCCTACTCAGCCTGGGCTGTGAGGAGGAAGCCCCCTGATGTACACTCCAACCTCCCTGCCCTTGCCTCCAGGCAACCCTTTAGACAAACTGCCTCCCCGCTCCCTAGCCACCTCACTGCCTCATGCAGGTCCATCTGTAGAACCCGGCACTCAGCATCAGTCTAACCCTGGCTTTCTCTAAGCTAGTGCAGGCCAGGGTCGGAGGTGTGTCTGCGCCAGGCTCCACCGCGCCTTCTCGAGGCAATCAGGACATTCCCGGAAGCAGCGAGTCTGGGCACTAGCATTTACCCAGCAGGAAGCAAACAGGAGCCTGTGTTGGGCTCTAGGTAGTCACCTTGACGGTCAGCACTTAGCACTGGCCTGCCCCCAGCTCTGACCCTACTTTTTACCCTGGAGGGGTGGGCAGCCCCGAGGTCCCCTATCAGGTACACACATGAGGGAAGCAGGGCTGAGGGCCGGGTCCCATACGGGCACCTGGGTCTCAGTGCTCCACCCTCACAGCTGGGAGCTCTGTGTAGCCCAGGGCCCTGCCGCTCGTTCAGTGACACTGTGGCCATCCTTCCCTGCTCTCTGCTAGGCAGCTCTTCCCTGGAGCAGCGCAGTGTGCGGCTTGTGTGAGCATGTGCCTGGCCTGCTCTGGCCCTGTCCCCGTCCGCCTGCCCCAGCTGCCCCATTCCACGAGCCTGCTCTGATCCCAGCAGGTCTGAGGCGAAGCCAGCTGGTCGCCGGGGCCGGAGCACATCCCTGAAGGAGAGACAGCCATCACGGCCACAGAACGAGCGGGCCAATAGCCTGGACAGTGAGCGCTGCCCGGACACGCGGAGCCAGCTGCAGGTGCCTGTGGGGCTTTGCCAGGTCAGGGCAGGAGAGAAGTTTAGAGATCAAGGTTGCCAGCAGACCTAGAAAGGATCCTGTCAGTGTCAGGAAGCCTGTGTGGGTCCCGTGCACACTCCAGCCCTCCCTGCCACCTCCAAGGGCCAGGCAGGGTACACGGCCACCTCAGCCAGGCAGCTTGGTGGTGGGCCTCTCTCCCCTTGCTGCCGGGAGCCTGCTGCTGTTGGGGGCCGTATGGTGCTGAGGCTCCACTCTTGGTGGGGAGAGGATGGGCGCCACATGTTCTGGGTGTGGACGACCGGGTGTTTCCAGATTCCCAGGAAGACTGTGTACGACCAGCTGAACCACATCCTCGTCTCTGATGACCAGCTCCCCGAGAATATCATCCTCGTCAACACCTCTGACTGGCAGGGGCAGGTAGGAGCAGCTGCCCGGGGCTGGTTGTCCCCAGGAGTTCCATGTGGCCGAGCTGAGTGGGGACCGCATAGAGACCTCGCTCAGGGACGAGTGCTGGAGCAGGCATGTGTGGCGGGTTGGCCTGCACGAGCGTGGCCTCTGCACTCTGGGGGTTCCAAGGAGAGGGTCAGATGGGTGGGTGCAGATGCTGTACCAAGGGTCACTCGTGCCCGTCCCACCCAGTTCCTTTCAGACGTCCTGCAGAGGCACACGCTGCCTGTGGTGTGCACGTGCTCCGCAGCCGACGTCCAGGCCGCCTTCAGCACCATTGTCTCTCGGATCCAGAGATAGTGAGTCCTGACCTTCCCTGGGGTCTGCCCTGTGGAGCTGTTGCCCGAGCATTTGCTGGGGTCCCTGTATCCCAGGTCTGCCTGCCATTCCAAGGTGGGCATGTTCTCTACCCTGGGGGATGTGGGTGGCTTCTGACCTGCTGCCCTGCAGGGCCCCTGCAGCCTAGGCTTTCCTCTGATTCCAGGGGCAGGAGGGTCTCTTGGAACTGTGGGAGGGTGGCCGCCCAGCCTGTCAGTCCAGGCAGATCCCGCCCCAGCTTAAAGTGCCCACTGGTAGGGGTCCTGGGTGGCAGGGCTCATGGTGGCGGCAGCAGCTGCAGCTAGAGAACAGACTTTCTGGGGCTTAGCTGTGTGGACCTTGGGCTGAGGACAGCTCTGACAGTTCCCCTGAGGTGCCTGTCCCCTCTTCACCCCACCTGTCTGGGGGTTGCAGCTGCAACTGCAATTCCCAGCCCCCGACCCCCGTGAAGATCGCTGTTGCGGGGGCACAGCATTACCTCAGCGCCGTCCTACGGCTTTTCGTGGAGCAGCTGTCCCACAAGACCCCGGACTGGCTCGGCTACATGCGCTTCCTCGTCATCCCGCTGGGTGAGGCCTGCGGCTGGCTGGGTACACATGGTGGCGAAGGTGCAGGCGCCAGCCGTGTGTCTTGTTCCTGATGTTTCGTGTGGTATGGTTTACATATGATAACATTACTTAAATGAAAATTGACACAGTCACCCTGCAAGGGGGCAAGAGGTAAAGCCATCCCCCTGAGATGGCCTGCACCGGGCCTCCCCTTGGTCTGTCACTGGGCTCTCTCTGTGCCAGTTTGAGTTCTTTATCAGAGAAGCACAGCAGGGCTGGGTGGTTAACCCTCCCAGTCCCGTGATGCTGTGCGGTTGAGCTTGATACTCTGTGTAATTCCCCTACCAAAAAGCCGACCTGGCTTGGCAGGCAGCGTGGCTGGAGGCCCACCTTGTGTGTGTGCCCCAAGCCAGCGCCAGTGGCTTCCTTGGTGAATGGTGTTCCAGGAGACAGTGTGCCACACCCTTTTACCATACCACCACCACAGAGGGGTCCTGGACTGTGAGCTCCACGTGGTGACCATCCTGCCCTGGGCACACAGGTTCCCACCCTGTGGCCAGGTACCTGGGCTCCGTGGACTACCGCTACCACAACTTCTTCCAGGACCTGGCTTGGAGAGACCTGTTCAATAAGCTGGAGGCCCAGAGCACAGGTGAGGCCCAGTGTGGTGCCTATGGCGGGGCTCGCACCCACAGTCCCGTTCCCTGAGGAAGGGGCTCCTGGTCTTCCAGGAGACCTCCCCTCATATCTACCTCTTTCTCAAGCTTGGCCCCAGAAAAGGGACAGCAGGCGGGGTAAGGGGGCTTGCCAGGATGCTTCCCTCTCCCCAGTCCAAGCCAAGGTGGCCAGCAGGGGAGGGCGCAGGGCCTAGGAACACGCCTTCAGGGCTTGTGGGGGATGTGACCCAGCACCACCGTGGATGGGCACTTGGGCCTGTTGTGGCCAGTGGGAAAGTAGAGGTGCCCATGACTCTGCCCAGACTCCACCCTGACCCACCTGGCCCACCGCACCAACCCATGGCCTCCTCCCCGTGCAGTGCAGGACACACCAGACATCGTATCCCGCATCACCCAGTACATCGCGGGGGCCAACTGCGCCCACCAGCTCCCTATTGCGGAGGCCATGCTGACCTACAAGCAGAAGAGGTAATGCGGTGGGCCCAGGCCTGGGGCAGCAGGGGACCCCCTGACCACACAACACAGGTCACTGCCAGCTGCCATTTCTCCATGGTTACCTGCCCACTCTGGCCTTGGCCGAGACAGACTCCACCAGGTCTGGGGTAAAAACCCTGGGTGAGCCTAGACTGTAGGGCCCTCCACTGACCCCAGTGCAGACCAGAGTAGTGGTTGGGTTTTCAGTACCTCTTTATTTCTATGCCCGTTGATGTGTCCCATGATGCAGCTGGTGGCAGCTGTCAAAGTGGCCCAGCCTACAGACCTGACACATCTTCCACCCCAGGCCTAGGCTACCTGGGCTGGAGACCCTGGACCATGGTCTCAGCCTGTTGGGGAGCAGTCAGCTCATGTTCTTGTAGCTCAGAGCATGACAGTCCCCAGGAGCTGTGGGTAAAAGCCTGGGCCAGGTGTCGTGGGTCTGGGTAGCCCTGGACAGGGCCCCTTCGTCAGGCACAAGCAGAGGCTTTCCTGTGGTTTCAGAAGACTGAACCTCCCTCTTGTGGCCAGGCCTGTGGACAGGCTATCCCTTACCAGATGAGGGGAGCAGAGGCAGTCAGTGGGCCCTGTCCAAGAGTGGAAGAGAGGCACCCAGCCTCAGCCAAGGGCAGAGGTAGCAGTCCCTGATTCTTACGGGTGTTCGCCCCCTTCCTTAGACCGAAGGAGAGTGAAGTTGAAGTCTGGGAGGTGCAGGGAGGTCAGTAGGGATGGCTGGTCCCATTCCAGTGGAGCCCAGCACTTCCAGAACTTCCTGGTGGAGGGAATGGCCACCCCTGCAAACTCACTCCAGCGGCTGTCCCTAAGTGAGGCGGGTAGTTGCCCAGGCTCCAGGCCCTAGAGCTCCTGCTGCCATGCATGGAGGGCTCACCGGGCCCCCGGGGAGGCGCCTTAACGTGGCCCTGTTTTCTCTTTTGGTGGCTTTCTGAAAAGGAAAAGGCACTTTCACTTTGACTTCACCCTGAGGTACAGCTCTCTGGCCGGCACCCTCTGTCCCAAGCTCTCTGGTCGATGCCCCCGTCTGTCCCAGGCTGGTCTTCAGGCTTGTTTAGCAGAGTCACTGCCAAATTCCCTCTCCCCTGATGCCCAGGGCATCTGGGGATCCCTCACAAAGGGCCCTGTGTGCTGAAGGTTCAGGCCTGTGTGGTCTGGGCCCACAGCCTCTGGGGGAGATCTGACCCCCAGGGGTCCCTGAATCTGAGGCCAGGATAGCACTGTCCTAGTTATAGCAGAGGCAAGGGCCAGGACTGGGCCACATCTGCCACTGGCATTGATGTTGGGCTGCCTCATGCCAACTCTGCTCTGAGCACTTTACATGGGTTAGCCTGGCCCCCTGCACACAGCCTAGTGGGGAGGTGTCCATGCTGGGCCTGCACATGGAGACAGGGAGGGGGAAGCCAAGGAGCTGGTCAGGGTGGCCTTCCTGGAGCTGGCCTTCTGCACGCAGAGTCAGGCTCCCAGGCCAGAGTCACAGAGAGGGTTTTTTAGCATCTTTTGTGCCCAGTGAGGCAGCCAGACCTCTGAGACCCCACAAATAGAGGTAGAGTGCTGTTACCTGTAGGCGTGGCTCTGTCTTCTGAACTTTTGGACTTGTGAAGTCAAGTAGTCCAGGAACCCCCACAGCTGTCCCTTTTCCTCTGCCTGGCAGGTCCTGCCCTCTGTCTTCCACACCTATCTCAGGCTATCTATTCTCCTGGGTAAACTTCTCTTACTCTCTTGCTCCCAGGAAGGTTGTTGGGTCCAAGGGATGTCCTTCCTAGGAGTGTTACAGTAGCAGCCATGTAGCCTTTGGCCCACCCAAGCTGCAGGTGGGCGGGATGCACAAGCAGGGCTCTGAGCATCCGAGTCTGTCCTGCTAAACAAGCCCCCTGTGTTAGAGAAAGACCAGCCGTCTCATGCCTCCCTGACCCTGTGGGCTGGCCTGTGCCGCCGGCTGTGGCAGGCAGAGCCCAGAGCATGCTCTTGCCTAGTCGCAGCTTCTTGTCACTCCTGGGATTGGCTCCTCTGAATTGCAAAACAAGGCTTGGCGAGAACATAACCCACTCCCACTCTGTGCCTCCTGCCTGCGATACAGTGGTGGTACCGTAGGCAGGGTGGGCATCAAGTACAGCATGAGGCCAGAGAAGCCCAGAGTCCTGCCAGTCGCTCCAGCCCTGCCCAGCTCTCCAAGGTTGCTCCTGCCTATCCCATGCCCCATGCAGTGTGGCTGGCTGGCCGGGAATGGGAGTTGTCCCTTCAGTGGGCCCTGCTGTCAGAGCAGGACAGCCATAGCCCTGGCCTGCCCATCAGCCTGTGGGGGTCAAAGGGGTCTTCAGGCCCAGGGCATTTGCCTTCTGCACAGTGGCAGGTCTCAGGAGCCAGACCATGTGTCTCGCTGACCACACTGTCCTCAGAAACATGTGTGCGAGGTGCCAGCAGCCCCTCTGACCAGGGCTTGGGGGCCTCAGTGGAGAGCCGGTGTCACCCTGTCCTGCCTGTGCTGGTGTTGTCTGCATGGCCCAAGATGCAGCTTGGCTTTGAGTGCTGGCAGCTTTCCTGTGTTGTGACATTTCCCATGTCTTGGTTACACATGGCCCTTGTCAGCTGCGGATGAGAGGCCATTCTGCTACAGGCCTGGAGACCCTGGGGTGGGTGGGAAGCCCTGTTCGTTATGGGTTAGAGCCTTTTCATGCATTGGGGACCAGGAACACTCACTTGGCTTCTACAGCCTCCTGTGCCCAGAAGGACTTGGGTGTCACCAAGATTTACAAACACAGACCTGCCCCAGAGAACAGGTGGGACCCTCATGTGGATGGCCACCCATGAGCTCATGCCTGATGGTAGATAGGGCAGCCTGGGCATGGGTCCAGGACATGTCCTGAACTTCATGGAGCAGAAGCAGGCTGTGGCCAAAGATGTAGACCACTTATTATTTAAAATGGACAAGGGGGAGGTTCTCTTTCAGCACTTCTCCTTAGACGGGAAAGGAAGGTTAGGAATTTAGTCTTTGGTGGGAGGGACAGAGCCTGCAGGTGTTTTATTCCAAAGCATCTTGGTCTTTGGGGGAGGGGTGGGTTCTATGGGTGGGAGTGGAAGGTGGGCTGGGGGGCTCCTGCTGGGAGCAATCTATGTTGGCAGTGCCCTAGTTGTGTGTTCTGGGCTGGCCAGGTGAGGACTGCTGGTCTACCTTGTGAATACCCTCTGTGTGGGGAGCACCAGGCTCAGCCTCTGCCCACACTTGGACTCTGAGAAGATGGGCTGTTGGACCTGGGAGTCAGTGCTCAACGGCAGGCAGCTAGATGGACACATGCCTTTCCCAAGCCTGCTTCTTATAGAGGCTTCTGTCTGGGAGACCAGGTGCTGGGCAGCACATGCTCCAGGGCTGTCCCTGAGGCACCCCACCAGCCTGAACAGTTGGTTAGTTCCCTGAAGTCCAGGGAGAACCTTCATCACCCGCCCCCAGTGCTTGACCACTTCTTGGCACCAGGGGCACATTCAGTCTCCATCTGGGAGAACTTTGCTGGCATCAGATTTGGGGAAACGAGACAGGTAAAATGGAGCTGGAAGACACAGCCAGAGATGGTACCAGCTGTAGACCCAGTGAGGGACACCTCTGTTCCCTGGGTGCAAGCCAGGGAGCTGCAAGGGTGGGTGGGCAAGAAGGACATGGAGGAGACTGGTCCAGTCAAGCACTGGGACCAGACCTGCCTGGTAGACCTTTCCAGAGGCCGGAGGGGCTGCTTTTCCTGCTGTTGATAGAGCCGTGGCTCTGTGCTGGCCCTGCAGCCTGTGGGAGAGCTCTTCAGGTCACTGGGGACCAGCTGGCAGGGACCCTTTGTGGAGACGAGCCACATGGCCAGCTGTGGTGGATGTACACAGGAGGAGAAGACAGTTTTCATCGCCTTGGTGCCTGCCCTGGAACCCTTCGCATCCCCGTGGTGGAGGGGCTGTGGCCAACACTGCCAAGAGAGGCTGTAGGTCTGCCAGATGCTGTATGGAGCCAAGTCCAGCCCCCTTGCCCTAGGTGCTCAACATGTCAACTCCTTGGGGAGTCACACTTTTGGGCTCTACTTGTGTTAGTACTGGTATCTACACTGGCACTAGGGCCAAAGGCCTGGCCTCTTGAGGAAGCACTTTGTGCCCTGTTTTGGGGCAGCCACTCTAATTACTGGAGAAGGCCCAAGATGTTCCCCAGATGTTCTGGGGCCCACAGGGCATATGAAGCTCCAGCTACTCAGGGAACCAGCTTGGTGGGCCAGCAGTGCAGACAGGACTGGCTGAGCTGTTGCCATGCCTCAGGCACCTGGGATGGACGGGCAAGCTTCCCCGTGAAGTCATGCCCTCTGACCCTTCCTCCCAGCTGCAGGGCTCTGCATGGCTTCCTGCCCAAGGTTATAGAGCTCTGTTCACCCTTCTCATGTGTCAGCCTGTGGGAAAGAATCCAAGCACTGGCTGGCAGGGTTGGGGATGGTGGGTTGGGGCTGGGGCTATACCAAGGGAGAATAACTCTTCTCTATCTCACTCACAGCCCTGACGAAGAGTCCTCCCAGAGGTTCATTCCCTTTGTTGGGGTGAGTACTGCCAGCTCCACCTTGCTGGGAATGGTGGCCGACCAAAGTACCTTTTTTAACAGTGCTTTCAAGTTAACCTGCGTGTTCCAGAACCTTCTTCACCATGTGAGCCCAGTAATGCCTTAAGTCCTCCCATGATAGTGCACTGTGTCCTTGTGACAAGGAGTGGGGGCCCAGGATTATTGGTTCCCCTATCAGATGTGAAGAAGCAGTGATGACTCTATTGTGGTTAGGACCAGTGTCCAGTTCAGCCTGTCCTGGGCATCAGCGAGGGGTCAGACAGCACCAACCCAGTAGCCAGGAGAAGTGCTGAGGCAAGAGGGCACCTCCTGGCCTGCCTGCTAAGGCTGCGTGGCTGTGGCCTTCTGCTGTTTCCTCTGCAGAAGACGGAGAGGTGCTCGTGCTTCTTCCTAGCCCCACGTCTCCATGACCATTCACTGCCACCTTTTCCCTTTGTGACCCTGCCCTGCTGAGGTGTCTGCATGGCATGTGGCAGGTGCCTTCCTGGTCCAGTGAAGGGACTAGGGTAGGTCTGTCCCCTGTAAGGAATGGAACTCATTCAGACACCCCCACCCAGGGCCTTCCTGCAGTGACAAGAGCAGGAAGACACAGCACTCTTGGACCCTTGACTTGTTACCGTGTGGCCAAGCCCTGAATTTGATAGTGTAATGCGCTCTAAGCTGACACAGCTTCACATGGCTGGTGGCTACAGGCCTAGGACACGGCCTGTCACGGTCCCCAGCAGCCCATGTGGGTTCTGGAGCAGCTTCCTGCCTCTTCACCAGCACTCTCAGGCCAGCCTCCCAGGGCGGCAGTGGGCAGGGCAGTGGGGCTGGCTGACACTCAGCTGCCTCCAGCCAGCATCTCTTGTTCCAGGTTGTGAAGGTTGGGATTGTGGAACCATCCTCCGCCACATCAGGTAACCTCGTCCCCTGAGGCCTATATGAGTGAACCAGTGCCCCCTAGGTCCTGGTGGTGCCCTGTGCTAAGGAGCAGCTCAGCCCTGCTGCTTCTGGTCTGTAAGAGCTGCTGTCCTCACCACGCTCCAGGCTGCAGCAGGCCAGGCAGCTCTCCTCCGTCACGGAAGAGAACCCTGCCTCCCTTGCAGGCTGCCTTGCCCATCCCACCTGCCCAAAGGGCTGCTGGCCACCTCTCTGCATCCTTGTCTGGAGGCCCTAGGCACAGGGCCATTGTAGCCGACGGTCTCACCTGGCCTGACTCCTCCCAAAGGCGACTCTGATGACGCAGCACCCTCCGGCTCCAGTGTGCTCTCCTCCACCCCACCTTCCACCTCCACGTCTCCTGCGGCCAAGGAGGCCTCGCCCACACCACCGTCCTCCCCATCAGTGAGCGGAGGCCTGTCCTCCCCCAGGTAAACACACAGCTCTTGTCCCACTTGTTCTGACTTGGCATTGACCCCATGTCCCACCCTGAAAGTTGTGGGCAGGCCCAGGCTAAGATCCTGTGGTGGACTCTGAGGGCTCTATCCTAGCTGGCCACCTGCTGCCACAGATCAGGCGCACCTGTTCCCCACCGAGCACCACGGCAGGAGCCGCCACCCTATAAATGAACCTGGCTCTACACATGAGGCTTTCCAGAGAGCATGGAGGGCAGGGCAGAGGAGATGTGCTCCTCGGACCATCCACACAGGACCAACTGGTGTCCTGCCAGGCCACCCTGCGTCTCTCCAGAGCCAAGCTGGAGATGTGTGCTCCTCACACTGCACTTTCTGGCCCCTCATCCAGGGCCCTCCAGCAGGCCCTCCCTGAGCTTCACCAACTGCCAATTCACACTGGGCCACACCTCCTGAGGGGGTGCTTAGTCTGAGTTGCCCAGCTAGTGCGTGGGTTTCCTTGGCATGGCAATGGTATGGGTCCCGTGAACAAGCAGCTCTTCAGAATGTCTGGCCGTCCAGCTGTTGGCATACCTCCCTGCCCGTGAGGACAGTGATGCCTTGTTACCAGGATCATAGCCCTGAGTGTGAGTGTCTCCCTCTGCCTCTCACAGCCAGGGCGCTGGCGCCGAGCTCATGGGGCTACAGGTGGACTACTGGACGGCAGCACAACCCACGGACAGGAAGAGGGACACCGAGAAGAAGGACCTGCCCACCACCAAAAACACGCTCAAGTGCACTTTCCGGTCCCTCCAGGTCAGCAGGCTGCCCAGCAGTGGTGAGGCTGCAGCCACGCCCACCATGTCCATGACTGTGGTCACCAAGGAGAAGAACAAGAAGGGTGAGGTGGGGGCAGGCTGCACAGGACTGCACAACAGAAGAGGGGCAGTCCATGAGAATTGGGGATGAAGGCCTTCACCTCCTAGTACCACCCACGTGTGGTTCCCCATACACCCAAGGGGCCCAGCGCTGGCCTTAGGGGGGTCTACCAGACAACAGTGAGCCTTAGGGGGCACTGAGGATCCGGCAACTTCTGACCAGAGCCTCCCTTGGAGGCCACGGGACAGGTGGAGGGTGTCTGCCTGTGGTCACAGCAGGCAGCTGGGCATCGTAGATAACAGGGGTCTGAGAGCTGTAGCCAGCCAGGCCCCTTCAACTCTTCAGCCCTCTGGCCACTGCTCTCCTGTCCTGCTTGCTGCAGGGCGGCTCTGGTCAGCCTGGCCCAGAAGGAGCAGTGGATGACAACAGGGCCCTTTTCCTCCCAGTGATGTTTTTGCCCAAGAAAACAAAGGACAAGGATGTGGAGTCCAAAAGCCAGTGCATCGAGGGCATCAGCCGCCTGATCTGCACAGCCAAGCACCAGCAGAACATGCTGCGGGGTAAGACAGGCCCTTGCAGGGCAGTGGTGACTTGGGGCCCGCTGGGGCCCCAGGGCCCCTGGGGTTATGTCACATGTGCAGGCAGATCAGTGCAGCCAGGAGCAGCTTTTTTAGCTACCACAGGACATACTGTGAAACGCCCGTCACACTGTTCTCTGCACACGGTGATGAGGCCCTTGGGTGTACCGGACAGTTCTTCTCATTCAAATAACTCTCAACCCTTTCTGTTGTTAAGGAGCAATCCGTGTGAGTTAAGTGTTTCTCAGGGTGCATTCTGACAACATTGGACTCCATGTGGAGCTCCCAGGGTTCTCCTTCCCTGTGAGGGCAGACCCATGGCTTCCAGGTGGAGAACTGCCCCGGTCTTCCCATGGTGATGGCCAGTGGGGATATTTAAATGGGGCTGACAGAGTCTCTGGCCTGACCTGAGAGGAGGTCTGGTGGACAAACAGCATCTGGCTGAGGCTCATGCCAGCTCTTCCTCTGAGGCCCCCAGAGACCCTATGTCCTGGGAGGGTGGGTAGCAGAGAGGGTCTGGCAAGGGGGTTTCCTGAGGGTGTGGGCGCCTCCAGCTTTGGGATCCTGGTCCTATACTCTGGCGGCAGCCCAGCTTCCTGAGGGACTGCCCTGTGGGTGGGCAAGCCCGGCGGGCAGGTGGTCAGGCAGCCCTCTCTCGCAGTCCTCATCGATGGCGTGGAGTGCAGCGATGTCAAGTTCTTCCAGCTGGCTGCTCAGTGGTCGTCCCATGTGAAGCACTTCCCCATCTGCATCTTTGGACACTCCAAGGCCACCTTCTAGCCCTGCCCACTGTGGGGGTGGTGTGGGACACTGGAGGCGCCTATTTACTGCCCCGTGGTGGCCACTGCTGGAGGGGCAGCTACATTTCTGTTAACATTGCAGTTTACTACACAGACAGACTGTCAAAAACACAAACCATCTTAAGTACAGATGTACTCACAGCCTGAAAACTAAGGGGCAGCTCCTTGCTGGGCGCCAAGTAACTGCCGTGCTTATTAACTAGAATGTCCGGCTGGAGCAGGGAGGCTGGAAGGTGGAGGTCAGTGTCCAGGGCCTCAGGAACCACTCAGAGCCCGTGAAGCAAGAAGGGTTCTTGCCTTCATGTCCTCCTTCCTGGAAGACAGGATCTGCTTCCTCAGGGAGCCCAGGGCAGGCACAGGCCTCGGAGCTTGGTGGCCAGGGGCCAAGGGTCACAGGCATGCTCAGACTCCAGGTGTGGGGGGTGCCACCCCCAGCACCATCCACGCACAGCTCCCAATAAACTCCAGCCTTGTGGGGGAGATTTTATAGTAGCAGATCTTTCTAATGCTCTCAAATACATGTGACGACGTAGCTGCCAAACAGATGTTCCTCTCATGAAGTCCCCTTGGGGCTCCACAGAGCCACAGTCCTGCCCACCCACCTCACCCCTTCCAGTCCCTCAGCTATTCCTGAGATACTGCTAGGCTTCTATGTGTTGTGCTGTCCCAGACTGAGCCTTGGTCCCTGCAAATGTCCTAGTGTCCAGCCTGGGAAATGGTGAGCTGTGGCAGGGGTTGGTCTGAGGCTGAAGCCAAGTGCCCAGACACTAGCCTGCTGTGCCACACCCTCCATCCCTGCCCTGCCTGCTGGCCTAGAGCATCCTGAACTGGCCGTGTGGGTATCTGGGCTGAGATTGAGGATCATGGTGAACTGGGGAACAGGCAACCAGGTGTGTGTGGTACCTGCAGCAATGGCGTGGCCAGTGCAGGCTCTGACACGCCAGCTGATCACAGAAGGTGACTGCAGGAGCCAGGCACCCCCTTCAGGGCTGTGTGCCCTCCAGGCCATGCTCCTTGGAGCAGCATGTTGCGTTTGGGTCTCATCCTGGGTGGCAGCCCTGCCCTCTGCCTTCCCTTGCAACAGGACAGGAGTGTGCTGAACGGCAACAGGGTCACCCACCTAACTACCTGCTCCACAGACCAGCAGGGAGGGGTGCTGCCTCAGACACGCTTCTCCCGACATGCTCGAACCCTGCAGGCTGCACAGGAAGAGCCCACCCATTCCTATCCCCTTGGAAACTGTTGCCTTCCCAGGGACACTGGTGGCCCTAAGAACAAGAGCTGCACAAGGCTCTGCTCAGAAAACAGTGCCAAATGCAGGACCACCTTCCTTGGGGTGAGAATGGCCTATTTTTCTTACCTGTGATCTACTTGTTTACCTGCCCCTCTCTAGGGGGCCAGTGATAGGACCTGGATATGTGGCTTAGAGGAGCCCTGTGAGCAGAGTGCCCTGCAGGGGACTGCCCCAGAGAACACCCTGCTGAAGTACACAGGGCCCTCAGTTTGAATGGCCATCCAATTTCTTCCGAAAGGTCACTCTTGGTGGAAAAGAGATGACTGAACTTTCTATCCTCGAGGCCACAGAGACTGTGCAGATTACCTGGCTGTGGGTAGCCCTTTCCTGGGGAAAACTTCCCTGGGTACTCTTCCCCAGGTGGCTCCGAGGCTCCACCCTGCAGGATAGAGCCTCTTCAGCAGCTGGCCCTGGGTCCAGCACCCATCTGGGCTGCTCCTGAGCACCATGTGACCACCACCACATAGGCCCTGTGCCAGGAAGGAACAAATGGAGACCTGGACTACATGCATTACTTGCCTCAGTTTCCCTGTTGGTTAAAGAGGAAGGTCACATTTCCCCTGCCTACCTCATGGAGCTGTTATGAGGATTCATGGAAAAGCACTTTGTCCCCTCGATGGACCACCAAAAGCCAAACCTGTCTTCAGCGGTGTGGCCATGAGGGCAGTGGAGAGTGTGTGTCAGAAGTGTGTGCTTTTTCTCAGGCCTCACCCCACGCACACCGAGAGGGATGTCTCAGCCCCACCAGTCTCCAAGGTTAAGCCACTAGTCGCTGTCAGTAACACCAGGCTCCTCTTGGGCGGGGCCACCGCTGTCGGAGAGGTTTGGGCAGGCTCCACCTTTATCCTTGAAGGTGGGGGACCTGCCCCCTCTCCAGGTTGGTCGCCTTGCCACTGTCTCATTTGGGCATGCAGTCCAGGGTCCTCGGTCAGCACCTGGACGCGAGTGGGGTGGGGACCTCTGTGCGGGGGCTGGTGGCCTTGCCGCGCTGTCCCCACCCCTGAATGACCTGGCCGTCTGTGACCTGCGTCTCCGAACGATGTCCTCATGAAAACGTCCGAGCCACTGCCTCCAGAGCCAGGCCGCCGGACTCTACAGGCTCCCCAACCCTCCCCGGGCTGTGGGGTCCTGGAGGGGCCAGCGGGCCGAGTTGGCTTGTGGGCGCCCCCTCCTGTTCGTTGTGACTGGTTTCTACAGTGTTTGTGTTGCTAGTTTTCCTTTTTAATGGGAAGCAAAATTAATGTAAATAGCTTTTCGAGGAGCTGATGCTAATCTGTCCCATGTGACCATGTGGACGACTTTAAGGTGCTGAAGCGACACTAATAAACTGAGGGCACTCACGCCGCCCAACTGCGTTATTCCTCTCTGCGAACAAGGGAGCAGACATGCGCAAGAGCAGACGTGCCCAGGGCCGGCTGGCGCAAGCGCGGCAGGCCGAACCCGAAGCCCGCGGGGTGGGGCCTGCGGGCGGAAGTTCCGGGGCAAGAGGCTGCCCCTCAGGCCGCGCGAGGCCGCGGTGCGTGCGCCCCGCCCCCACAGGACCCC